TCACCTGGCGCTCCTTCGAGCCACTATCCTCGTTGTTATCGTTCGGACGACCTGCTATTTTCGCGGCATTTTTCACCGACACGTCGTCGCTTTCACTCGCACTACCGACACTAAGGCCGCTGTCCACCTCCGCCTCCGAGTGGTTCGTCGTCACAGCGGCCAACCGTTTGACCATCAGCGGCCTCCTAGGGCCCTGACCATTTTTCCGATGCGGCTGCTCGGACACCGCCCGCTTCCAGCGCCAGCTGGAAGTACCCAGCCAGTCCCTGACCAGCGTGCACCTCATCCGGCTGCAACAAGGTCGTCGTGTCCGACGTGATGACGCTCACTGGCTGATACGATGCCTCCTGGGTGATCATCACGAGACTCTTATACTTGTTGTTCCCGATATTGTGGACCGTCGGCGCGAACTGCAGGACGTCTCTGATGGAATCCTTGGTCGACGCGGCAGGAGGGAATCCATTCTCCTTTCCAGTGGACGGGCGTCGCTCGACTGAGCGCAACCGAGTCGGTTCCCCTTCTATCCCCTCTACGGCGCAGCCTCCATCCGCGCCTCCACCACCGGCGTCGATGCCGCTACCTTCACCACCACCATCGTGCGCCTCTCCTACCACCTGCCCGCAAGTAGGACTCTCGCCTCTCACCGTGCCGGAGTCATGCGCACTCTCCGCTTTACCTGTGCTCTTGAACATCTCGTGGATCTTGCTGGTTATCATGTCGCCCACGTCGCAGCTCGCCGATTCCGACTCAATCTCGCCGTGGTTAGTCTCCGGCTCGACCGCGCCATCTGTGGGGTTCGATTGATCATCCTCCGCGGTAATCGGCATGGGATCGACCGCGGTACGCACGCTTACGACACCTCCGTTGTTTGAATCGTCCGACGATTGCTCAACGTCTGCCCCCTCGTACTGTGCGTTCCATTTGCCGCGGCTCGGCGCGGATTCCTCGCGGTAATCGGTGTCCTTGAAACTCTTCGTGGCTGGTCCGTTCGTCGCCGGAAACGAGAACTCCTCGCGCTCGTACGGAGAGACGATGGCTGGTGTTACCTCGTACTCGTGGAGTTCGTCGCTGCTCACCTCGCTGCCCGTTGCGTTCGTCTCGTTGCTCGTGAAACTCTCGGACCCTGAAGACGCGCTCGCCGCTAGGTTCGAATTCAAATCGCTGGCTATTGTGTCGTGCTCGGCGTTATCGGCGCGATCTACGATTTCGTTGGTCATTATCTGCGATAACGGTGCCGCGTTATCGGCGCCAGTTTCGCAACAGGCGTTGCCGTTCATGCGATCGTCGGACGTCAGTGGAGTCGAGACTCGAAAGTTCGTTGCCTCCAGGAGGTTGTCGGGAGATAAACGGCTGCCGTCCAACAATTTTTGACAGGAGATTTCCAAGGAATCGGGGATTATGTTCGAATCCCAGCAGTCGGTCAGGAAGAAATGATTCTGACCGTCCAAATCCGTCACTTTGGATTCTTCGGATTTCGAATTGTCATTTCTTGAGTCGTTGCCAGTGTTATTCATGCTCACCGGCTCGATGCTATCGGGATCTAAAGTCTTAATGGATTTCAGTTCGATTTGATTCTCCGAATAATCGTTATCACTCGCGATATACATTTCCTCGGGCATTTCACGATGCTGTAACGAAACGGTGATCCTCTTATCGTTGCTCCTCTCCATGTTGCTCCTCTTGGCACGAACCTTCCGCTTCTCGTTACCGTTCGCGTTTTCCTCCCGCCCTCCCGAAACACTGTCCGCACCTCTGTCCACACGATCACCACTGCCACTTTCAAAATTTGAATCCTCACTCAAAAACCGAACATACTGCAACACCACTGGCTCCTCGTCCGGAAGAGCGGTCACCCTTTTCAAGGTGATGCCGTTCTCGGCCGCCGAGTCCGAGTCGTCCTCGTCCCCGTTATCCTCTATGTCATTATCGCTCGTCAGAGAATCATCGTTGACAACAAAGATCCTCGAGAACCTATGAGAAGATGAGTCATCGTCCAAGTCGCTGCTGTCTGCGGAAGAGCGCCCCGAGGAGCTGCCAGAGTCCTCGTGTTGGTACATCCTCTGCCCCCTCCTGCTCTCAAAGGACACGCTCACGGAATCTTGGCAGTCCTCATCTTTTTTCGTCTCGTCATTGTTCTCCTCGCTCTTCTCCACCTTCTCCTCAGTCCCCCTCAGGGAACACTGTTCTCTACATTTCGATTCCTCCTCCTGCAGACCCTCCTCCGATTTCGACGCTCCAGCCTCGTCCTCGTTCTGATTTATCTGCAGACCGTTCAGCCGCTGCTGAAGAGCCTCCGTCGTGGGAATAGACGTCTCGATGGTAGACCCGTACAGTCGCGAAGCCAGCACCTGGTCTGGCCTGAAGGTGCAGGTGGTAGGGTTGAAGGCACTCGCCAACCTCGGGTCTAATCTGGCCCCGTGGAGCGGCTGGTTGAAGCGGGGGTGCCAGGCGAACCACGGCGCTGCAGGGTCACCTCTCAACCTCAGGGTGCCCGGCTCGGCGTGCGCATCCTCGCTGCGACTTATCATGGAGGACGCGGCTGCAGCGAAGTCGCCCGTCCACAGGGACGCTGGCACCGGCACCGGGTAGGGCACGGGCACCGGGATGGGTACGGGCACGGGCAGTACGTTCGTGCTTCGGGATCCTCCGCAGGCCTGAAACAAGTTGGACATGTGGACATCTGAGCAAGATTATCATGATAGCTTAACTCCGTCAGTTTGCATTAAACCTGTGAGTCAATGTACAGGGTGTTCCATTTACCTCGTCCTTCAAAACACTTCACTGGGTATATAATATAAATGTATGAATATTATAAATGAATAAGCACACAGTCTAAATGATTTGGAACATAGCTATGATTCTAAACAAAAACACCTTCTAACGGTTACAAGTCAATAGAGCCACAAGGTCCAAATAAGAAAAGTGACCACAACAGTTTGAATTATAAGGAATGTGTACATGAGGTACATCTTACCAGGCAGGCAGTAGTCCCCCGTCCAGGGCAGCAGCTCCAGTCCTGACTATTAGTGTCCGTGCCAACGTTGTTCGTCGCGACGGTGATGGGCGCACCAGGAGGCAGCGGCAGAGTCCCACTTTCGAAGTAGTCCCAGTCGCAGTCCTCCAGGGACTGCGAGTGACTGCTGCCGCGTGGCAGTCCGTTCAGATACGAGGAACTGGAACAACTGCTGTCGGCGTCGTCCTCCTCGCGACCGGAAGACGAGTCCGAGCTGATGAACACGAGACGCCTGTAGTCCACCAGCGGCTGATCTTGAGCCTGGTTTCCGGTCGGGCTCAGCTGTCTTCCGTCACGGCCTATCACGTGCACAGTCTGGAAGCCTTGCAGTTCTTCCGAGCAACACGTCCTCGCGTGCGATCGACCTCTTCGACGAGAACCTTTTCGGAAAATAGTTTGTTTGGTGAGAAGGCTGATAAGATCGGAGATAGCTTATCGGTGTTATTAACGACAATTATCGCTATTGATTTCGATGTTATCGGCGATCGATTTGATTGGAACTGCGCTCAGGGAATTTATTACCTTGTTTTATAGTGATCTGCTGGTAAATTATGGGTCCTCGTGATTCTGAACGCGAATAAAAATTGTCAATAAGGTTATAAAGTTATGAAATATTATAAAATTGCAGATTACAAAATGGTGGATTACATATACGAAAGATTTTTTAAAGGACCTGTAGCTATACAAAGTTAGAACTAGTTCAATCCGATGATAATTAAGGAAAAGCCAGACAATCAATAATTTATCAGACACGATGATAAAAAGCGTAATGAATTTCTAGTGCGAGAAAATAGATGGTGCACGATATCCAGGAGATAAAGAGAGCCGTCGAAAGGATTCAGTCAGCGAAAAAACTGTTTATTGCGTGTTGGAAATAATTAATTCAGAAACCAGTCAGTGCACTCGATCGGCTATCGTCGGTAGCATCATCGAATCACGATCCTAAGTAAATATTTCTCCTAGGTAATGAACGTATTTGCTCTTAGCCGCTAATGAACCTAACCACAGGTGAATCCTGCTTGTTAGCGATCGAGGCGCTGTGGCACAACCGTATGAGTCATACGCAGCCCCGGTTGCGTATGGAGGGACATTTAGGGGAGCTATTATTGATTATCCCAAAACTTCCTGCTCCTTTTTGATGCGGGTTAGAAATAGTACTTTCTGAGTTAGTATTTGGGGATGTGAGGATTTTTGAATGTAGGAGTTTGAGGATATATGGATATGGGGTATGTGGACTTGGGGATATGTGGATTTGGAGATATGTAGATTTAGGGATATGTGGTTTTGAGGATATGTGGATGTGGGGATATGTGGACTTGGGGGTGTGTGAATTTGGTGATATGTGGAATTGAGTATATGTGGAGTTGGGGATATGTGGAGTTGGGGATATGTGGAGTTGGGGATGTGTGGATTTGGGGATGTGTGGATTTGGGGATGTGTGGATTTGGGAATGTGTGGAATTGGTGATATGTGGATTTGGGGATATGTGGAGTTGGGGATGTGTGGAGTTGGGGATATGTGGAGTTGAGGATATGTGGAATTGGTAATATGTGGATTTGGGAATGTATGGAATTGGTGATATGTGGATTTGGGAATGTATGGAATTGGTGATATGTGGAATTGGGAATGTGTGGATTTGGGAATGTATGGAATTGGTGATATGTGGATTTGAGGATATGTGGAATTGGTGATATGTGGAATTGGTGATATGTGGAATTTATGATATGTGAATTTGTAAATGTGAGAAATTTGCAACATATTAATTTGGAAATATGAAAACTAGTGAAACCAGTCTACGAATTTTGATACCCAAAAACAAAATATATCTTATGACGAAAAATTCCATAAGTACCCACCTATATATCACACACCTGTCAATTACAATTAAAAATACCAGTTATTAGCTAAATTACATATGAACAAAATGGACCCCTCATTTGCAATTCATTAAACATACAACATGGCAATAACTCTTTGCGATTAAATACTGACCCTATTCAAACACGCTATATTCGCTGAACTTCGACTTTTTTTCTGCGCTACGTAATCGATAATTTGCAGCCGGTCTTATCTGTCAGGATAAATCTCGAAAAACAAAAAGAAAAATGTATAAAGCAGCTATTACGTTAGCGTTACGTGAGCGTGGCTGGGCTCGTTTTGACCGGAAGCTGAGAAGAACAATGGATTCGCTGAATTTGAATGGGGAAGTGTAGGTAGTTGTTAATAGACAATAATTTGTGACGATATTTGTGAAACACCCTGTAGGATCGTTTAATGGATGGGAGTGTAATTAGAGGCAGTGTAAGATTCTTTTAATAAAGAGGTTAGATTAGGTTGTTATAGGTTATAGAGAGGTTATGTTAAGTTAGGTTGTTTTAGATTGTTAAGAGCTTATGTTAGGTTAGGTTCATCACTTCCAAATTTTTAATTTGTAAATCGTGAAATTTTATATTTTCTGGTTTTAAATGTACAAGTTTCTATAATCTTAAATTTATATATTACAAATTCCCTACAACTCTAAATTCTTGTGTATCAAATTCCCTATGGTCCCAATTCTCTATGATTCCAAACCACAAAATTTCCAAATCCCTAGGTTTCCAAAGTCCTATCTTCTCCAATTCCCTATGATTCAAAATCTCAAAATTTCTAAATCCACACGTTCCTAAATTCCTATATTCCAAATTCCCTAAGGTCCCAAATCCCTACAGCCCCAAATCTATATAGTTCCAATTCCCTATGCTTCCAAATTCCAAAATTCCCAAATCCCTGGATTCCCAAATTCCTATGATCTTAAATTCCTATATTCCGAATTCCCTATGGTCCCAAATCCCTATATCCCCAAATCTCTATAGTCCCAATTCCCTATGGTCCCAAATCTCTATAGTCCCAATTCCCTATGCTTCCAAATTCCAAAATTCCCAAATCCCTAGGTTCCCAAATTCCCATAATCTTAAATCCCTATATTCCAAATTCCCTAAGGTCCCAAATCCCTATATCCCCAAATCTCTACAGTCCCAAATCCCTATATCCCCCCATTATCATTCCCAATTCCCCATAACCTCACATTTCACAAACTTCCACAATTCCCAACATCCCAAATCCCCAAAATATCAACTTACATTCCCACTCCCCCACAATCCCTACATTTCCACTTGAAAATCCCCCACTTGAAACTCACAATATTTCCAAGTTTACATTCGAACCCACAAACATCACCGCGCACATTCACCGACGGTTTCGAGTGTCAAGTTCGAACCTCGACAAACAATAAACCCATTGCAAAATTCGCGACGTGGAAACCCGAGCGATTATCCCTAGCGTTATGGAACGTGACACCAGTAAGTCGCTCACCAGCTATTAAATTTAACACTGCGCGCGAAGAAGCCGACTCCTCATCCGCTTCGACCGTAATTCGTCGACGAACACGCGTTTACCGATTCTTCGTAGGTTTAGATGACGAATATTGTCTTGTTCGTCACGAGGTAAACAACACCGGCGATTCGCGTGAGCTACCGCCGCTAAACTGAGAGCGTCCTGCTGTGAGGCACACCTGAGTCCTATAGCGTCGGTCACTACCTTACAGCGTCTATAGTGGCGTCGCTACACCGTATTATGACGTCGTGTACAACGGGTGGCGCAGAAACGAATGTGGCCGCTGGAGCACGGTATGACGCTCTGTGAGCTCACGCACGGTGGAGTACTTTGCTCACGATTGTGTTAGATTACTTAGCTTACGTGTGTATGTAGTACTTGTGTTAGAGGGGGGTATTTAGTTAGGGTACTTGTATAGAGTGGTACAGATGGATTGTGGAGGGAGGGGGTTGGACTATGTTTTGGGTTTAGGCTAGGGTAGATTCCCTTTAGGGTATATTTCGTTTAGGGTAGGTACCCTTTAGGGTAGATGGAGTTAGGGGGAGTTTGCTTTTGGGAGGTCTATTGGGGTGTGGGTGATTTTTAGGGTAACAGGGAAATTTGGGATTTGAGAAGATGGGAATTTGGGGATTTTGGGATTTGGGGAGCTGGGAATTTGGGGATTTTGGAATTTGGAGATTTTGGAATTTGGGAATTTTGGAATTTGGA